CGGCGATCTTCCCACCTCAACCTCCTGAGTAGCTGGAACTTCAGCCATGTTGCCATCATGCCTGGCTAATTTTACTTTTCGTAGAGATGGGGTCTCCCTATGTTGCCCAGGCTGGTCTCCAACTCCTGGCCTCAAGTGATCCTCCTACTCTGGCCTCCCGAAATGCTGGGATTACAGGCCTGAGTGCCTAAACACTTCCACTGGGTGATTTTTATCCCAGTCCCACCTTGCCTGGCCCTAAAGCCCACCCCTCCTTTTTTCTTTCCTGAGGCAGAGTCTCGCTCTGTTGCCCAGGCTAGAGTACAGTGGCACAATCTTGGCTCACTGCAACCTCTGCCTCCCAAGTTCAAGTTTCTCCTGCCTCTCCTGATTCTCCTGCCTCAGCCTCCCGAGTAGCTGGGACTACAGGTACATGCCACCATGACTGGCTAAATTTTGTATTTTTAGAAGAGAAGGGGTTTCACCATATTGGCCAAACTGGTCTTGAACTCCTAACCTCAGGTGATCCACCCACCTTGGCCTCCCAACACTCCCTGTAGTGCTGGGACTCAGGCATGAGCCATGTTTGGCCCCTAAAGCCCTTTTGTTCAGTGTGTGTGTGTGTATATATATGTATTTATGGTCTAGAGAAGAGAGGTCTATTTTTTTTTTTACATGAAGAGGTTTGTATGTTAATCACCCATGGGACTAAAAGTCTTTGTTTAAGGAAGTCAAGTGAGAAAAGTTTAATCTGTAAAAACTTAACTACTATAAGATTTATTTTTGCAGGGCGTGGTGGCTCACACCTGTAATCCAAGCACTTTAGAGACCAAGGCGGGAGGATCACCTGAGGTCAGGAGTTCAAGACCAGCCTGACCAACATGGTGAAGCCCCGTCTTTAAAAAAAAAAAAAGATTTATTTTTATGTTTTAATGATTTAATTATTTAATTATTTAATGATTAATTTAATAATTAAATGATTTAATTATTTAAAAAATAAATGCACATAAGATTTATTTTTTAGCCTTGCATGGGGGCTCACGCCTATAATCCCAGCACTTTGGGAGGCCAAGGCGGACAGATCACCTGACGTCAGGAGTTAGAGATCAGCCTGACCAACATGGAGAAATCCCATCTCTACTAAAAATACAAAAAAATTGGCCAGTCGTTGTGGCACATGCCTGTAGTCCCAGCTACTTGGGAGGCTGAGGCAGGAGAATCTCTCCAACCCGGGAGACGGAGGTTGCAGTGAGCTGAGATTGTCCCATTGCACTCCAGCCTGGGCAACAAGAGTGAAATTCTGCCTAAAAAATAAAGAAGGTTTATTTATTTCCTCATCCCTGTGATTACCTGGAGATATAAGTATTATTGGTTTTGTTTTGTTTTGTTCGAAATAGAGATGGAGGTCTCCCTATGTTGCCTAGGCTGGTCTTAGAACTCCTGGGCTCAAGAGATCCTCCTGCCTCAGCCTCCCAAAGAGCGGGGATTCCAGACGTGAGCCACTATGCCCAGCCTACTTTTATAACTCATCGCAAAGCGAAGTGACTAAGGGAGAGAAGTATGTTAACCTCTACCAAAATACTACAGTCGAAGGCATCCCTGGAAATGGGGGAGATTAGAGAATAGTATGGCCTCCGGAGCACAGAAATCACTGACTACAGCTTTTCTTTTGTGTACTGATCACACAGGGAAAGAATCAAGAAGAGGTGAGATGGCATATTAAAGCCTTTCCTCTGATAATCTCAAAGCAATCAGAGAAACACATCTCACCAGAGAAAAGACACTCACAGAGGAAGAGAGCAGCATACAAGCACTTCTGAGGCTGAGCCAGCCTGAATTCCAATAAACCAACACACAGGAAAGGATTTTTTTTTTTCACTCTAAGTTAACAGAATCATGTTCTAATCAAGGTCTGTGAATAAGATTAAAGACTGGAATAAGAGGAAGAGGGTGGCGGCAGAAAAAAAAGACTAGAATAAATTAAGGATACTCTTTATTAAAAAAGTGACAAAGACAGCAATTTGGCATAGCACTTAGCAACACTCAGGGTTAGTTGTTTTAATAGCTTGATTTTTGTTTTAAAAAGTATGGGAGGCAGGGTGTGGTGGCTCATGCCTGTAATCCTAGCACTTTCAGAGGCTGAGACAGGATCATGTAAGCCAGGAGTTCAAGATGAGCCTGGGCAACACAGGGAGAGCCTATCTCTTAAAAAAAAAAAAAAAAAAAACCAGTTAGCTGGTGGTGTAGTACATCTGTGGTCCCAGCTACTTGGGAGGCTGAGGTGGGAGGATCGTTGTTTGAACCAGAGAGGTCAAGGCTGAAGTGAGTCATGATCATGCCACTGCACTGCAGTCTGGGCAACAGAGCGAGACCTTGTCTCAAAAATAAAAAGTGGGGGTAAGGAGAGTACAATGGCCATCTGTTTACTCAGATAAACTGTATCACTAAAGCCTCAGCCAACCCTCCCTCATCATTTTGAAATTGAATCACTAAGGATATGAAGTGAATGCAACCAATATTATCACAGGACAAGTGACCTTCCTTCTTTAGGCAAGGAATAGGCTCTATTGTATCAGGTTCGTAGATCAGATAAAAGGATGTGCTCGGATTCGGTGGCTCATGCCTAGCACTTTGGGAGGCCGAGGTGGGTGGATCACTTGAGGTCAGGAGCTTGAGACCAGCCTGGCCAACATGGTGAAACACCATCTCTGCCAAAAATACAAAAATTAGCCAGGCACAGTAGCACGTGCTTGTAATCCCAGCTACTCAGGAGGCTTAGGCAGGAGAATCACTTGAACCTGGGAGGTGGAGGCTGTAGTGGGCCGAAATCTAGGAAATAAGTTAACAATGAGGAAAGACAGAATATGGGGGCAGGCAGGGGGTGGTTAATACGAGCGGGGAAGCCTTCCAGAGGACGGAAGGGAGGTTCTAGGCATGGGTGGGAAGAAGCGAGTCCTCAAGCTGTACATGCTGACTTCTTGCTATAGGAACCGTATCCGGGCGCAGACGCAATGCGGTGTTCCATCAGGAAATGCTTCCTACTCTCAGTGGGCATTGTATTCCTGTGGCTCTTCATCATTTTGAAAATCCCCAAGGAAACTGAAGACGATCAAAATGTGATGACTATCAAAGGCCAAGCAGCAAGTCTTGAACTTGCTCAGTTTGGGAACTGGGAATATAGGGTGGAAATGGTGTGGACTGGCAGATTCTTGAAAGTCCCTGGGCTTTCCTTCCTCCTGTACCTTTTCACCTGAGAGCAGGAAGCTCCAAAGGGAATGGGGGTATGGAACCAGGTCTATTAGTTCTCCATATTAGTTAAGACAAAGAAGACAGCAGATACTGCTTGAGCCCTGGATATTTTAGCCAATGGCCAAGCATCCTGAGAATGTGCTGGGCTCACTCTAGGGAAAATGGTTCACTCCATTCTTTCCCCAGAAAAGCTTATGGGAAGCCACTGGGGTGTAAACTGTTCTTTTTATGAAACGATATATATGTTTGTCCTTGTCACTGCCCCAGGAGGCCAGTTATAACAGCAGGAAGGACCCAAGACCACTAGAAGACTGGCAGAGCCTCACCTTCAAATATATGGAAAAAATCCAGAAGAGAAGAAAGAGTGAGTACCAACAAGAGGAAGAATTCAGTACCCCAGGGGAAGTAGGGACAGAGAGAGAGATCAGCCAGATAGGAAGGAAAGTAGAAGAGGGAAGAAGGAAGACAGATTTGTGCCTAGGAATAGTAGATTCTGGCAGACAATTTTCTCCTCCTTCCCCAAGGCAATATTTACATATCAGCAATATGAGGAGGAAGGAGAAAAAAGTTAGTTAGCTACCACTGTTCTTTTTTCCCTTCTTGGCAAGTTACTAAAGTTAATTGCTATAAGAAGGTGGACTCACTTGACTAGAGAACATTTGGATTAGCGGGGGTCTTAGAGTCACATAGTCCAACTCCCCCAGTTTATGGATCAGGAACTAAACTCAGAGCTGAAGGGATTTGCTCAAGATCACAAAATCAGCAGAACTGGGACAAAAACTCTGGGCTCCTGACTTCTTTTTTTTGAGACGGAGTTTCGCTAGTTACCCAGGCTGGAGTGCAATGGCTCGATCTCAGCTCACCGCAACCTCCACCTCCTGGGTTCAAGCAATTCTCCTGCCTCAGCCTCCCGAGTAGCTGGGATTACAGGCACGCACCACCATGCCCAGCTAATATTTTTGAATATTTAGTAGAGACGGGGTTTCATCATGTTGACCAGGATGGTCTCGATCTCTTGACCTCGTGATCCCACACACCTCGGCCTCCCAAAGTGCTGGAATTATAGGTGTGAGCCACCGCACCTGGCCTGGGTTCCTGACTTCTAAGGGACGTCCTTTTTCTTTTTTTTTTTTTTTGAGACAGAGTTTTGCTCTTGTTGCCCAGGCTGGAGTGCAATGGTGTGATCTCAGCTCACCACAACCTCTGCCTCCTAGGTTCAAGCTATTCTCCTGCCTCAGCCTCCCGAGTAGCTGGGATTACAGGTGTGTGCCACCACACCTGGCTAATTTTGTATTTTTAGTAGAGACGGGGTTTCTCCATGTTGGTGAGGCTGGTCTTGAACTCCTGACTTTAAGCAATCCTCCCATCTTGACCTCCCAAACTGCTGGGATTACAGGTGTGAGCCACCACTCCCAGCTGGGAAGTCCTTTTCCTAATATACCTTCTTCAAAGGACAGCTTTGGGAAGATGACAACAATTAACAGTAATATAATTGACAACAATTATAATGACTATAATAGCCAATATTTATTGAGCCCCTAAACCATACACTACAAAGTTCTAGGCTCAAAGAAGACTCAGCAGAACCCACAGAGACTCAGCATCACCTAGCTTAGTACTTCTCAAACTTTATTGTGCATGCAAGTTACCTGGTGATATTGTGAAAATGCAGCTTCTGATTAAATCTGAGGTAGGGGTCAAGATTCTGTATTTGTAATGAGCTTACAGAGGAGCCTGATGTTGCTGGACTAAGGACTACACTTGGAGTAGCAAGGATGCAAGCATCCCCTCTGCCAAAGGGAAGAACAGGTGGGAAATGAGAGGGAAGAAAGGAAGAGTGAAGGTCCCACATAGCATCCCAACCCCTAACCCTTCTGACAACCGTCACTATTCCTGTACACTGACAGTCGCCCCAATTTTACCTCTCCTTAGGATGGCTGACGGTGGGGATCTCCTCAGTGCAGCAAGGAGATGGAAGCAGCCTCTTGTACACACTGGTCTCCCTGTTCTGTGTTTCTTCTAAGGCTGAGCAGAAACGTCTCATGGTGCTGGTCCACCTGGCAGATTCTGACATCACCTGGCTCAGAGAAATTGTTGCCCATATTTCAAGCCTCTTCAGCCCACAGATCTCGGAAGGGCAGTTGCTACTGATCCATGCTCCATCCGATGCCTACCCGACTGTGGACAGCGTCAGGGATGAGGCCTTTCTTGGAGAATTCTACTCCAAGCAGAACATAGATCACGCCTTCCTCATGAACTTTGCCACAAAGTTCTCTGATTACTTCCTGTTAATAGAGGACAATGTCTTTATTGCCCCCAACTTTGTCACCCACATTTACTCGAGGGTGGCCACCATGAAGTCCAACTCATGGGTGCTACTGGAGTTCTCCAATATGGGCTTCCTTGGCAAACTCTTCCACAGCAGGGACCTCCCACTCCTGGCCCATTTCCTCCTCCTCTTCTACAAGGAGAAACTCCTTGACAGCCTGATTTCTCATTTCCGTACCCTCCTGGTCCAGGAAAGCCCAATCCTCTGCAGATCTTTCCTCTTCTACCGCAGGGTCTCCTATGCTGCCTTTGATCACAAGCAGAAGGCCACAGGACTTCGGAAAAAGAACACGATTGGTCCCAATAACCCGCCTGCAGCTGTCTTCACTGATATGCAGGTTTCCAATGTGCACTTCCCCTGGGAGGCCTACACTCTGGATGAGTCATTCTTTTGGACACACAACATTAGTATAGGAAACCACCTGACAGTGGTTCTGAACCATCCAGCAAACCTGAGCAGGCTGCAAGTGATGACGGGCTCCATTGTGGATGGGAGGTACGCCCTGGAAAAGGGGCAGGTGGAGCTGGGCTACGAACTTGAGGGGATGCTTCAGCACTGCACCAGCTTCACCTTGCTGGGACATCTTCTGGAGGGGCAGATGGATCAGCAGATACTTCTGAAAGGTATGGGGTACCACATGAGCTGTGTGAGGCTGGTGGTGAAAGCTGGTCAGGCTGGGGGACTTATAATCAGGCATATCTACCTCTGGGAGAAAAATGCCAATTAGCAGCAAGTGGATCAATGCTGAAGACAAATCAGTAGGAGGGATGAAAATTAAAATCTTAAAGCCATTTTATTCTAGCCTATATGAGTGGCATAGGGGAGACACAAGGGAATTAAGGGCCAAGAGAGAGGACTGTCAAGTCTTTTGGTGCCGCCAAGATGTCAGGAGACTTGTCGCTTCCTTTCAACTCAAACAACTCACATAGAATATCTTTTGCTGGGGCAGATATAGCTTATTCAAATTTAGGAAGAGTTGTTGGTCACTCCCAAAATCTTCAGATACCTGCGATGCTAGATCAGCCCAAATCAAGGCATCTGTGTGTATGTGTATGTGCGCAAGTGGATGCACATCTATGTTCACACACAGGCAGAGGTGGGGGTGAGGTATGTGGTCATAGGAAGGCAGGCAGGAAAACCACAGCCGAATCCCTAGAACTGACATCATAAAAAGCCACAAAAGGGACTCTCGTTAGAAGTGGAAATCTTGGCCGGGCATGGTGGCTCACACCTGTAATCCCAGCACTTTGGAAGGCCAAGATGGGAGGATCACCCGAGGTCAGGAGTTTGAGACCAGCCTGGCTAACATGGTGAAACTCTGTTTCTACTAAAAATACAAAAAAAAAAATTAGCCAGGCATGGTGGCATGTGCTTGTAATCCCCGCTACTTGGGAGGCTGAGACAGGAGAATTGCTTGAACCCAGGAGGGGTGGAAGTTGCAGTGAGCTGAGATTGCACTTCAGTCTCAAAAAAAAAAAAAAAAAAATCTCAGAAGTGCAAGAAAGTAGCAGATGGACATATAACAATAAAACAAATCCCTTAGCTCTATCCTTTAAGCTGTTTCATAGTGCCAATCTAGTTCCCTCTTTTCCTCACCGACAAACTTGGACACAAATAGATTGTAACTAGACTGGGTGTGGTGGTTCGTGCCTGTAATTCTAGCCTCTCTTAGGAGACTGAAGTAGGAGGATATCTTGAGGCCAGAAGTTCAAGACCAACATAGGCAACATGGCAAAACCCTGTCTCCACAAAAAATTAAAAAGTTAGCTGGTTATGGTGGCATGTGCCTATGGTCCCAGCTACCCAGGAGGCTGAGGCAGGAGGATCACTTGAGCCCAGGAGGTCGAGCCTACTGTGAACCATGATCATGCCATTGCACTCCAGCCTGGGCAAGAGTGAGACCCTGTTTCAGAAAAAAAAGAAAGTTTGTAACTAAAACTTTACTCTCTCATCAGCAATTCACTCCTTAACCCTGGTTTCTGCATCCATAATGCTACTGAAACTCTTCCCTGTTTGTCATGATGAGAATAGTCAAAACCCAGTGACTTTTTCAGCTCTCATTTTAAGACCTAGTCTTAAAAAAAAAAGAAAAAGTTAAATTAAAAAAAAAAAAGAATTAATTTGGACTCCTACCTCACATCATATAAAAAATTAACATATAAAAGTATTATAGTCCTAAATCTAAGAGTTAAAACTATAAAATTCTTAGATGAAAACAAAAATATCAATCATGATCTTGGATTAGGCAAGTTTCTTAGACATAACACCAAAACACAAGCATTCAAAGAATAGATAAATTAGACTTCAACAAATTATTATTATTATTTTGAGACAGAATCTTGCTTGTCACCCAGGCTGGAGTGCAGTGACACAATCTTGGCTCACTGCAACCTCCACCTTCCGGGTTCAAGCGATTCTCCTGCCTCAGCCTCCTGAGTAGTTGGGACTATAGGTGCATGCCACCAGGCCTGGCTAATTTTTTTGGATTTTTAGTAGAGATGGAGTTTCACTGTGTTATCCAGGGTGGTCTCATCTCCTGACCTCAGATCCACCCGCCTCAGCCTCCCAAAGTGCTGGGATTACAGGCATGAGCCATCGTGCCCAGCCAACAAATTAAAATTTTTTTGTGTGCTTCACAGGATACTTTTCACTAAAGTGAAAAGACAATCCACAGAATGGAAAAAAAATATCTGCAAATCATTCATCTGCAAATCTACAGAAAAATTCTTACAACTCAATGATAAAAAGACAACCCACTTTAAAAACAGGCTAAGGGATTTCTCCAAAGACAACATATCAGTGGTCAATAAGCACATGAAAAGATTCCTTTTCTTCTTCTTCTTCTTCTCTTTTTTAAATAAAGACAGGGTTTCACCATGTTGGTCAGGTTGGTCTTGAACTCCCGACCTCAGGTGATCTGCCCACCTTGCCCTCCAAAGTGCTTGGATTACAGGTGTGAGCCACCACACCTGGCCAAGATTTCATCATCAGTCATTAGGGAAATGCAAATCAAAACCACAATGAAATACCACTTCACACCCACAAGGATGTCTATAATTTTGTGGGGTTTTTTTGAGATGAGTCTCTCACGTCACCTGGGCTGGAGTGCAATGGTGCAATCTTGGCTCACTGCAACCTCTACCTCCCGGGTTCAAGTGATTCTCCTGCCTCAGCCTCCCAAGTAGCTGGGATTATAGGCATCTGCCACCATGCCCAGCTAATTTTTTTGTATTTTTAGCAGAGATGGGGTTTCACTATGTTGGCCAGGCTGGTCTTGAACTCCTGACCAGCTATAATTTTTTTTTAAAGGAAAATAAATGTTGTCTAGGATGTGGAGAAATTAGAACCCTCATATATGCTGGTGGGGTTGTAAAATGATACAACCACTTTGGAAAAGTGTTTAGCAGTTCTTCAAAATGTTAAAGTTGCCATATTTTCAAGCAATTCCACTCCTAGGTACATACTCAAGAGAATGAAAACATATATTCACACAAAGGCTTATACATGAATGTTCACAGGGGCATTATTATTAACAAAGCATGGTAACAGTCTACGTGTCCACCAACTGATGATCAGGTAAGGAAAACATAGCACATACATACAGTGAAATAAATCAGCAATAAGAAAGAATGAAACAGACACATGTATGAATCTTAAAAACATTCTGCTACATGAAAGAAACCAGTCACAAAAGGCTACATATTGTATGATTCATTTATATGAATCCAGAATACACAAATCCATAGCAACAGAAAGTGGATTGGTGGCCAGGGGCTGGGGAAGGGGGAATGGGAAATGACTGCTAACAGGTACAGGGTTTCTTTTGGGAATGATCATAATGTTCTGAAATTGATTGTGGTGATGGTTGCGCCACTCTGTTAATACACTAAAAACCATTAAATTGTGTACTTTGAAAAGAAGGAATTTTGTGGTTATGTGAATTATATCTTTAAAAAAATTTTTTTAAAAACCGGCCAGGAACAGTGCCTCACATTTGTAGTCTCAGCTCCTCAGGAGGCTGAGGTGGGAGGATCACTCAAGCCCAGGAATTCAATGCTGCAGTGAGCTAAAATCATGCCACAATACTCCAGCCTGGGCAACAGAGCAAGACTCTGTCTCAAAAACAAGAACAAAAGGCTGTAGAAGCAAATTAAAGGGTGTAGGCTATCTTGATGGCAACAGGGACTCATCAAACTGTTTTCAGAAGGACAACAAAATGATCTGAGTTGTGCTTTGGCATGATGACTACGGGCATCATGAGGACTGGATGGAAAGAGGTCAAGATGGGGAAACCAATTAAAGAAAATAGGCCGAGTGCGGTGGCTCACACGACTGTAATCCCAGCACTTTGGGAGGCCAAGGCAGGCAGATCACCTGAGGTCAGGAGTGCGAGACCAGCCTGACCAACATGGAAAAACCCTGTCTCTTTAAAAAAAAAAAAGAAGAAGGAGGAGGAGGAGGAAGAGAAGAAAAAGAAGAAGAAAGAAGAAGGAAGAAGAAGAGGAAGAAGAGGAAGAAGGAGAAGAAGAAAAGAAAAGAAGAAGAAGAAGAGAAGAAGGAAGAAGAAGAAGAGGAGGAAGAAGAGGAGGAAGAGGAAGAGGAAGAGGAAGAGGAAGAAGAAGAAGAAGAAGAAAATAATAATATGGGCCAGGTGCAGTGGCTTATGCCTGTAATTCCAGCACTTTGGGAGGCCAAGGCAGGCAGATCACTTAAACTCATGAGTTCGAGACCAGCCTGACCAACATAGTGAAACCCTGTCTCTACAAAAAAATGCAAAAATTAGCTGGGTGAAGTGGTGCATGCCTGTAGTCCCAGCTACTTGGGAAGTTGAAGTGGGAGGATGGCTTGATCCCAGGAGGCAGAGGTTGCATTGAGCTGAGATCCCACCACTGCACTCCAGCCTGAGTGATAGAACCAGATCATATCTAAAAAAGAAGGAGGAGGAGGAGGAGGAGGAGGAAATATGTATAAGGTGCCTATTTCTGTGCCTGGCATATTAATAGCTACTTGATGAATGGTACTTCCCATTTCTTTCTTCATGGACTGAGATCATATCAAGTCACCCTCTGCCTTAGACAGTGGCTGAGGCCTCATTCTTATGGCTACAGGGGCCACAAGACAACATAGCCAGGTAAAGCAGACTTGGTGTAAGAATCCAGTAGCAAAAGTGTCATCATAATTGGCAACTGAGTCTCAGCCTCCATATCTGGGGGTGATGGAGAGTGGTGGACTCATGGCAAACTCGGGACTTCAGACCCTCTCTGAAGCTCAGTGTTCCTGGACAGGTATCCTGTGAGAAGGTGGGCCCAGCATTGCAGATCTGGTCATATGTCAAGAGAAGTTGGAAATTTCAATTTTTATGTTAGACCTCTCAATTTTCTGAATGCTGGCAACTAATTCAGAATGTTATCAAAAGATGGTTTTTACACAATGGCCAGGTGCAGTGGCTCACATCTTTAAATCCCAGTGCTTTGGGAAGCTGAGATGGAAGGATCGTTTGAGCCCAGGAGTTCAAGACTAGCCTGGGCAACAGAGTGAGACCCCCCGAACTCTACCGAAAAAAGAAAAAAACCCAGAATCATCAGCAACAACAAAACAACAAAAACCACTACAGGCCACAGTTCTGCTCTGCTCTGGGGAAGCTTCCTCAAGTTAAGTTTTGCCTCATGTTACCACACATTTGATAGGGTTACAACTTCCTGGGATCCTCTGAGATGATTATTTTTAGCTTCAGAAGCATTGGTCCCCTAGATAGATCTCTGGGACATACCCCTATCTCTATCAGTAACACCAAGCCCCTCTGAGCATGGATCACTCTGAAGATGGCTGAATAAATCTGCTGCTGATTCTATTAACTCCACTTTTTTTTTTTTTGAGACAGAGTCTTGCTCTGTCACCAGGTGCCAGGCTGGAGTGCAGTGGCGCAACCTTGGCTCACTGCAACCTCCGCCTCCCAGGTTCAAGCAATTCTCCTGCCTCAGCCTCCCGAGTAGCTGGGACTACAGGCATGCGCCACCATGCCCAGCTAATTTCTGTATTTTTAGTAGAGATGGGGTTTCACCATGTTGGCCAAGGTGGTCTCGATCTCTTGACCTCATGATCCACCCGCCTCAGCCTCCCAAAGTGCTGGGATTACAGATATGAGCTACCATGCTCGGCCCTATTAACTCCACTTTCAAAGGTTGGCATCTTCCTGGTATTGACCCACCCTATTTGGGGCTTGACGTTATTTAGGATGAGCCACCAGATGATTTACAGTTAGTATAATCATTCGAAAGAAAGTCCTACGTTTGCTACAGACTGGGGTGTGCTATCACAGGTTGGAGGGGCCTGGAGTTTAGGTGGCCATGACTCTGAACTGCAGGTGATGTGAGTTCGAGCCATACACAACTAAGTGAGCAACCTATGTCCCCAAAATAGGCCTACTTTTCATGTGCTGGGTTGGGGGTCTCACCTTCAAGAAGCTGAATGGTGAGCGCAGACAATGAGGGAAGTTATTATGGGGTTGGCAGGGAATATGCAGTTAGGAAAGAAAGGAACGCAGGTCACTGAATAGTCCCAGGGGCTCTGGTGATGAGTTCTGAGAATGCCATCCTTCCAGGGCCCTCTTCTCCTTAAAGGAAATGCCAGGCAAGGGAGGGGGTTTACTGCCTGACTGAGCCTTACTAGCCTCCCATCCCCCAAATCTTCTTCTCTGGGACATTATTTTTTTCCCTAAAGTGGAGGCCTTCCTTGCCTTTTCTGTTCCAAGCGAGGGTTAGGGCAGGGGAAGACAAGAAAGACAGCTGGATAAAACTTGCTGGCCAGGCATGGAGGCTCACACCTGTAATTCCAGCACTCTGGGAGACTGAGGCAGGTGGATCACCTGAGGTCAAGAGTTTGAGACAAGCCTGGCCAACACGGCAAAACCGTCTCTACTAAAAATACCAAAAAAATTAGCTGGACAAAGTGATGGGCACCTGTAATCCCAGCTACTTGGGAGGCTGAGGCAGGAGAATCACTTGAATCAGGGTGGTGGAGGTTGCAGTAAGCTGATTACACCATTATACTCCAGCCTAGGTGACAAGAGCAAAACTCTGTCTCAAAAAAACAAAACAAAATAAACAAACAAAAAGAGCACAACTTGCCTTAATTTTCCTTGGGGGAAGTGAACTCTACAAGATCAGCCTTGGTTACCAGAAAGCAAGACGCTTCTCTGAGCACAAATGCTGCTGTCGCCCTCCTCTAACTCCTTGCTTGCACTTTTTGGGATAGGTGAGATGCAGAGGTAAGGGGCCTTGGGCTTGGGTCTGATTTCTGGTTCACTCGAGGCCCTGGTCCCTTCATAAACACTTTCACTTTCCTTCAGATGTTCTTTCCATGCCCTGCCGACCTCATTCTGGCCTCTCACAAGCTGGACACCTTCTTACAAAAAGCTCAAGGAATTAAGATTCCGTTTTTGGGCCAGGCGCAGTGGCTCATGCCCGTAATCCAAGCACTTTGGAGGCCAAGGTAGGCGGATCACCCGAGGTCGGAAGTTCAAGACCAGCCTGACCAACATGGTGAAACCCTGTCTTAAAAATAAAATAAAATAAATAAAAGATTCCATTTTGGGGAAAGAGGAAGGGTGACATCCTTAAGTTAAGGA